CCTTTAAGAATCTGCTTTTTTCCAGTGTCCTAGAAGTTTTTGGATTATCAGGTCTGTGCTTTTCTAGATTTACAGTCTTTTTCTAAAAACTTGTATAGTTTTTGGAGTAGTGAAAGCAATATAAGAAGGGTTTTATTATAACTCCTTTTTTCTCTTGCTCATAACTTCCCGGGGAGGAAAAATACCTTGTAAAGTGCAACCCTTTAAGAATCTGCTTTTTTCCAGTGTCCTAGAAGTTTTTGGATTATCAGGTCTGTGCTTTTCTAGATTTACAGTCTTTTTCTAAAAACTTGTATAGTTTTTGGAGTAGTGAAAGCAATATAAGAAGGGTTTTATTATAACTCCTTTTTTCTCTTGCTCATAACTTCCCGGGGAGGAAAAATACCTTGTAAAGTGCAACTTTGCCTGGCGGTTCTCCTGTTTTGGGGAAAGTTTTAAGTAACTCCATTGAGCCATTTTCAAATCATGAGTATAGGGGAAAGTATAATTTTTCAAGTTTAGAAAGACAAGTAACACTTTCTGTACATCAATAACTGAAAACTGTTTCAATTTTAAAATTTCAAATGTCCAATGATGCTAGTTCTCCATGAAGACAAGCCATGGATACAAGTTTTAAAAAGTGACAAAATTATGTGATTTCAAAAACAGGATTCATGTTCTCATTGACTTAAGTAAGATTGGTCACACTTAATAACTTTGCAGGAGCAGGGTTAGAATGTTCAGCTCCTTAGAATATCAAGACCTAATTTTGAAAGATGCTGAACACCCTCAGATCCTGTTAAAGGCAGCTGATTCAGTGTTAGCATTAAGAATTTTTTATAAGTTTCTCTAAGCATATGTAAGGCTTATAATGTTCTACACATAGGCAATTAGTGCCTGCCAGGGAAGGGGTGCAGGGAGGGACAGCCAGAGGATCAGGGAGGGGCATGAGGGAGCACCCCCCTTAGCAATCAAAATTCTGGCAGGAACACAGGGGGCTAGTGCACCTTCTGGGTGCTACCATGAGTTGCCTATGATTCTACATTAATATGGTTTGGATCAAAAATTTGTCTTCATGGAATTCTATAAGCTTGGATTCTTTTGTATTTCATATGCCCTTATCTCTTTTCACTAAATCTCAAAGAAAATATTAACCAAAATTAATAAGTAAAAAAGTATCTCAACATATATGTAGTACCAAATTGTGATCTAGCAAAACACCCCTTATGCCCCTGCACAACCTATCTCACAGTTAGCAGTGCACGAGTAGAAGTGGACTCCATATGGGCAGTCCTCTCTCCCCACTGCAGGACTGTTTTCACTAGGGACAAAAAAAATTAAGTTCCCTAATTCAAGTTAATTAACGAGGCAAAATTTTAATGAAGATGAAGCCATTTGTGGTTTCACACATTAGTCGTTAACTCCATCTGCTAGGGTAGGGAAGAATGAACTTGTTCCTAGTGCTGGTCCCAATCCCAGATAAAGTGCAAGGGTTGGATGACAGCCTGGCAAGCCATCGCCATAAAACATGTCCATATTTGACACGTGGAAGAAAAGGACATATAACTTCAGCAGTTTCAACTGTTACTTAAAATAGAACCAAGCATCAGAATTTTTCTAAATCTTCTGCTACCTGCCAAGGATTCAGAGTAGTTAGGTTAAAAAGTGTTTGTTTTATATTTTGTAAACATGTAACCACTGAATTTTTCTTTTAAGCCAGTTCCCTGTATGCACTGGTTCCTGCAGAGCTGCCTGTCCCTCACCTGCCCCGCACTGCTGCCTCTGATACAGAGGCAGGAACACAGGGGGGCAGGTGGGAGCCAGTGTGTACAGGGAGACAGCTTCTAAGCCAGCTCCTCATGAGTACTGGTCCCCATGGAGCCTCCTGCCCCCCATCCCCGAGCACTGCTGCTGCTACATCGGAGGCAGCAGCGTGGGAGGCGGGCGGCTCCCTGGGAGCCTGCTTAAAAGCTGGTTCTCTGCCAGCGCCTGACTCACATTGATCAGACCTTTCAATTGTTACATGCCTGTGATACATCTAATAGGCACGTTGTTATTGTTCTGAATCTGTCCTCACAAGGGTGCAACCTACACTACTGGCTTGGCAAGCTTATTCTCCACAACTGATTGCTGCTATTTTCTGTTTGAAGATAGGATGTGCAGTAGTTATTAGTGCATCATGATGCAAGATCTAATGTTGAAAAGGGTTTTTTTATGTAATGTTAGATGACACTGTATCTATTACATTAACCCAACTTCATGTTGTCATCTTAGGCAATATGAACTAGGAATGTTAAATATCGGTTAATTGTATTGTCGATTTACCTCATGAATGCTGCCAGTGTGCTCTGGCTCCACTCCCAAGGAGCCCCCTGCCACTCTGTTCTGTTGTCTATCAGTGATAGCAGCACAGGGTGCCAGGCAGGAGCTGGTCCATGAGGGGAGCCAGTTTAAAAACCAGCATCCCTCGCGGACTGGCTGCTTGTTGCCCTGTGCTGCTGCCTCTGATAAAGAGGAAGCAGCACAGGGTGGCAGCAGCCCCTGTCCAGGGTGGAGGGCTCCCGGACCCAGCACAAGCTAGAACCAAGCCAGGCTGCCTGTCCACCTGGCTCCCAATACACTTTAAATGCAGAGCCCCAATGGAGATAGGTCCCAGACATGGCGCAAGCCAGGACTGAGCCAAGCTGCTGGCCAGCCCGCTAAAAAATGTACTGGCAGGAGGAGGGGAGAAATGCATATAGTCTATAGCATTAACTTATAAGCTTTTGCTTACTGGTTAATCGGTCAGTTGACTACACTATTACATTCCTAATATGAACACAATAATTGGTTATGATAGCACTAGATTTGAACCAGTATTGGCACAGCACAATTTACCAGAAGAGTGATCAGATAATAGTGTGTGTCCATTAGAATTTGCTGCCACACATGAACTATTTTTAAACAGCTACTTTGTGTCAGCACAAGAATTGCCATAATTGTACATGGTTATATCCTTCGTACAACCTTGGATCACAGTTCAGAAACCTGTGATTTGACTTATCTAGGGCATATATGTATTTAGAAGTACTGATCTTGCTCTGGAGCAAGGGTGGGCAATAATTTTTGGTGAGGGGGCCACTCCAAGTTTTTGGAAAGTGGTCAAGAGATGCACTTTTCTGTGGAGGAGATGTGGGGTCTAAGATGGAGGTTGGACACAGAAGGGCACACGGGTTAAGAGACTGGGGTGCAGGAGATGGTGTGAAGTCTGAGAGGGAGTTTGGGTGAAGGAAAGGGTTGTGACTTGGGTCAGGTGATTGGGGTGAAGGGACAGGGAGGGATATGGGTGCAGGAGAGGATTCTGACCTGATGGAGGGGCTCTAGGAGGAGGGGCAAAGTCTGGGAGGGAACTGTAACCTGGGAAAAGGCGGTGCAGACTGCAGAGGGTTTGGGTGGTGACCTGGGGCAAGGGAATGGGGTGCAGGGTCTGGGAGGGTGTCTGGGAGAGGTGTGTAGGAGACAGTACAGGATCTGGGAGGGAGTTGTGACCAGAGGCAGAGTGGTGCAGAGGGTTTGGATAGTGACCTGGGGGAGGGAGTTGGGGTGCAGGAGGGGCTGGGGTACCTGAGGCAGGCTCCAGCTGGGAGGCACTTACCTAAATGTCTCCTGGCCAGCAGCCCTGCAACACCCCCAAGGCAGGCTAGGTTCCTTGCCTGCTGCAGCCCCAGATCACTTTAAACTTCCCGGCTCTCAGCTCCAGTAGGGTGAAGAGGCTGGTGCTGCCCCCTTCTCCCAGGCCAATCTTTCAGCTCCTATTGTCTGGTTGTTTCCAGCCAATAGGAGCTGAGAGATTGGCTCGGGTCAGTTCCTATTGGCCTGTTGTTTCCAGCCAATAGGAGCTTAGGATTCGGCTGGAGGCAGAGAGATCACATGAAGCCTTCCCCTCCCTGCGGAGCAGAGAGCTGCACGGACTGTGCTTTAAACTGCAACAGTTGTGTACCTAAGGGTCCCAGCAGGGTAGTCTGTGGGCTGGATCTGGTGGCTTGGTGGGCCAGATCGAGCTCCCAGGCCATATTTTGCCCAGCCATGCTCTGGAGTCTGATTATTGACTACTAATAACAACAGTGATGTTGCAGAGATGGATATCTATTGCACTGAGATACTTCAATGTTGATAAACTATGTGACGAAGCAACTGCTAATCATTATAAGGTATATAAATATACTATATTGGATGACAAGCTGTTTACTGTGAAGGAAAAGTGGACTTTATTTTTGGAATTCTACCACAGAGATTACTAAAGAACAACTCAGACTAAGAAGAATGCAAACATGACATTAGATATAGATGATGCCATCAAATTGTGAGAAAGAAAAAGAGAGAGGTGCAGTACAGAATGGGTGCACTGACTCAGAGTCATTGAGGAGAAGAGAAAATGGGCAGTAGAGGAAAAGCAATGAATGAGCAATCAAGGAGTCTATCAGAATGATAATAATCAATGGTGGAATAATATGATGCAATGCATCAAGTAAACCTCTGAGACACACAACAAAAATGTATTTTTCAGATTGTTATGGAGCAAATTGGATGTCCAGTCTTGTGGCATCTGCCAATTAATGACAAACAATTAAGGACAAACAATTTAATAACTATCATGGATGGTTTTGTGAATTAAAATATAAAAAATATAATAAGAAAAGGAGTTTGAAGAACAGTTAGCCAAAAACTCAAAGCAATAATAGCAAGTAATAGCAAAATATTTTTTAAATACAGAAGAAGCAGGAAACCTGCTAAGCAACCCGTGGGGCTCCTGAATGATCAAGATACTAAAGGAGCACTCAAAAACAATTATATCATTGCAGAGAAACTAAATTAATGCTTTCTTTGGTCTTCACAACTGAGGATGTTAGGGAGATTCCCAAATCTAAGCCATTCTTTTTAGGTGACAAATCTGAGGAATTGTCCCAGATTGAGGTGTCATTAGAGGAGGTTTTGGAACAAACTGATATACTTAACAGCAACAAGTCACTGGAACCAGATGGCATTCACCCAAGAGTTCTGAAAGAACTCAAATGTGAAACAGCAGAACTATTAACTGCAATTTGTAACCCGTCCTTTAAATCAACTCCTGTAGCTAATGACTGTAAGATAACTGACGTGACGCAAATATTTAAAAAGGGCTCTAGAGGTGATCCTGACAATTATAGACTGGTAAATCTTACTTCAGATTAGTTGAAACTATCAAAGAATAAAATTACCAGATGCATAAATGAACATAATTTGTTGGGTAAATGTCAACATGGTTTCTGTAAAGGGAAAGACGTTGTTACTCACCTTGTGCAGTAACGATGGTTCTTCAAGATGTGTGTCCCCATGGGTGCTGCTCTGTGAATTTCAGGCCGCAGTTCAGAGATCTTTCAGCCGTTGTCTGCTGGACCATGCATGCGCGGTGGCCATCTTGCGGCTTTTCGCACCATTTCTGGTCACGCGGTCCAGCTCCGCCAGTTCCTCCTGATGGTCGAAGCCTGGAAGACATAAACAGCTGACTCCGAAGAGGGAAGAAGGGCGGGTCGTGGAGCACCCAGGGGACATACACCTCGAAGAACCATTGTTACTGCACAAGGTGAGTAACTTCTTCTTCTTCGGATAGTGTCCCCGTGGGTGCTCCACTGTGGGTGACTCCACAGCAGTAGCCGGACTGAAGGCAGCGGGTTTGGAGTCAATGAGTTGCCGCTGTAGAAAGAACTGCAGTGGCTACTGCTGCATCAGTCATAAGCAGGGCTCGGCGAACCATGGCAAGCCCTGCTCCCCAGCCGTGCTGTCCGGCCATCTGCGCATGTGCAGATCATTCTGCGCATGCGCAGATCGCCCGAACCCGGCTCTTCCATGGGCGAGTAGATTTCATTATTTGTCGAGCCCTGGTCATAAGTATGTTTGATAGCGCGTAGTGTTTTGCAAGTGAGAGATCCGACAACCAAGTGGCCGCTCGACAAATGTCTTTTAGGGGAACTCCCTTTAGGAAAGCTGCCAAAGGGAGTTAACCTTGGGCAAAAATGAAGGTTGTGGATGTAAAATGGCTCCCTGTGCTGTAAAGATGGTATAGGGGGGAGTAGCCACGAGGACCACTAATTCTCCCACTATACGAGCTGATATGATCACTAAGAGGAACACAACCGTTATGGTTAAGGTACGGAAATCGAATGTGGCCAAGGGCTCAAATGGCAGACGCATTAAGACCGAGTCTAAGACCAAGTCTAGGTTCCACGGGTCCGGAGATTTCCTGTGTTCAGGGAAAAGATTAGTCAGGCCCTTCATGAATCTTCTTCTTGTTGGATGGGAAAAGGCGGTATACCCATCAATAGGTTGGTGAAATGCTGTAATGGCTGCCAGATGCACCTTGAGAGATGAAAGGGCGAGCTCAGGGTGCTTGAGGCATAAAACATAGTCCAAAATCAAGTGTAAAGAAGTTTTGCTGGGGTCTAGATTCTTGCCTGAGCACCATTCTCTGAATCTTCGCCACTTATGAAGGTAAGTATTACGAGTTGAAGATTTTCTGCTATATAATAGCACATGCTTGACCGCTTGGGAACAACTTATTTACTTTTGTTGGAACCAATTAGGAGCCAGGCTGACAGAGAGAAGTGATCTAGTTGCAGGTGTAGAATTTGCCCACGATCCTGTGTCAGCAGATCAGGTCAATTAGGAAGATGGTATGGAGGATGGGGCAACATACAGAACAGGTAAGTGTCAGTCCCCGTAATACACGAGGTTCAAAGGGATGCCAGAAAGGATGAGACCACAACTTGGGGTTTTAAAAAGCACAAACTGATTTTATTTTGATGGCGCCAGACAATCATCAGAACAAAAATTAAGCAGATTGCCAGACAACACAAAACAATTCCCTGAGGCTTTTCTAAATCACAATAATTCCCAATAACTGCCCAGGGGTTAGGAACAGTTGAATTAACACTGGTATTGTTCATAGGGCTGATTATTTACACACCTTTATACAAGGAAACAGTAAAAAACCTAAACCACAACTATTTATAAACTAACTTAGTAACTTTTTAGCCACTGTCACTTGACAAGCAATAAGGACAACTAAAAAATCAATTAGGATAGGGATGATGGCGGGGGGGGGGGGGGGTGTGTGCGTGCGGGGCAGCAGGAACACAAGTACCGGTCGCATGCTCATAAACTGTCCCCACTCGGGTCGACCAACTCGGAGTACGCTCAGTAAGACTCAAGAGCGGGGGGTGCAAGGCGTCTAGGTGATCAGGCCAGGCGTTCACTCAATGCGAATCCGAGACGGGGGGGGGCGGGGGGGGGGTTTATACCAGTTCTGGAGACAGCAGGAACACAAGTACCGGTCACATGCTCATAAACTATCTCCACTCGGGTCGACCAACTCGGAGTACGCTCAGTAAGACTCGAGAGCAGGGGGTGCAAGGCGTCTGGGTGATCAGGCCAGGTGTTCACTCCATGCGAATCCCCCGTGAGAGAGGGGCTGCCTGCCTGTTTTATTGCCTGTGAACTTATCACCCCATAGGTTGGTTTTTGCTGCAGTGGGTGGAGTAGCAGACCTGAGCACAAGTCAGCCCGTTGGCTGATCTTTCACTGCAATGGGTGGAGCGAGCAGGGGAAGATTATTAATTTACATGCCCTTATATGGAAAACACTCCACCTCACAGACAGAGCCCCCTATACCAGCCTTAGAGGTATTACAGGCTATGGCTCCCTGCGACGGGCAGCCATTTCTGATGTTCTGTCTCGGACAGTAAGGAAACCAAGTATGGCGCGGCCAGAATGGTGCTATTAAAATCACTTTGGCTTTGCCTATAATTACCTTCTCCAGGACCTTGGGAATTAGGGGAATGGGAGGAAATGCATATAGGAGACGATGACCCCAGTTGCAGAGGAAAGCGTCCCCTCTGGATGCGTGGCCGATGCATGCCCTCAAGCAATATTACACGCACTTCACGTTGTACTGTGTAGTGAAGAGGTCCACCGACGGGTGGCCCCAATGGTCGACTAGTGTGCAAAGAGCGTCTGGTTGTAGTTCCTATTCGTGTTGTTGGGCAAAGCACCCGCTGAGCTCATCTGCCATGATGTTGTCCTCCCCAGAAAGGTAGGCTGCTGCGTTTTGTTGGTTGCAGAAGTTCCACAAGCGTACAGCTTCCATGCAAAGGGAGTGGGAATGAGCTCCCTGTCTGTTTATATAGTGATAGAAATGTAGCCATGTTAGTCTGGTGTAGCTGAAACAAAATACAGGACTATATAGCACTTTAAAGACTAACAAGATGGTTTATTAGGTGATGAGCTTTCGTGGGCCAGACTCACTTCCTCAGATCAAATAGTGGAAGAAAATAGTCACAACCATATATACCAAAGGATACAATTAAAAAAAACTGAATACATATGAAAAGGACAAATCAAATTTCAGAACAGAAGGGGGATGCGGGGGGGAGGAGAGAAGGTAAATAAATGTCTGTGAGCTAATGGTATTAGAGGTGATAATTGGGGAGGCTATCTTTGTAATGGGTAAGATAGCCAGAGTCTTTGCTGAGCCCCCCGCTTAGAGGGTCGAATTTTAGCATGAATGACAGTTCAGAGGATTCCCTTTCAAGTGCAGATTTAAAAGGCTTCTGAAGCAGGATGCAGGTAATTAAGTCGTTGAGACAGTGTCCTTTCTGGTTGAAATGGCAAGAAACTGTTTTTTCTTTGTGATCCTGTCTAATATCTGTTTTGTGGGCATTGATCCTTTGGCGAAGTGTCAGACGTTTGTCCAATGTACATAGCAGACGAACACTTTCGGCACATGATAGCATAAATTATATTTCTGGATGCGCAGGAATATGTGTTCTTGATCTTATAACTCACTTGGTTAGGTCCAATAATGGTATCAGCAGAGTGAATATGTGGACAAAGCTGGCAACGGGGTTTGTTGCAAGGGAAGGTACCAGAGTTGGTATTAGTGTGGTATGTCCTGTGGTTGTTGGTAACAATCATCTTGAGGTTAGGTGGTTGTCTATAGGAGACTATGGGTCTGTCTCCCAGAGCCTCTTGGAGTTTAGTATCCTGTTCCAGTATAGGCTGTCTGTTTATGTAATAGACTGTTGTCATATTGTCTGTGTGTATCTGTACTCCTTGGTTGCGGATAAGTGGGAGAAAGTGCTTTGCAGACATTGGAGACAGCTTGGAGCTCGAGCAAGTTTATGTGGAGGAGAGATTCGTTGGGGGACCAGCGGCCTTGAACTTGCCTGTTTTGTATATGAGCTCCCCAGCCGAGTAGGGGACAGTAGGCTGGGGTCAGTGGAACGGTATAGCTGTGAACATGTTGTGGGGGATAGGCCACCATTTCAGAGATTGTCTGACTATGGTAGGTACGACCACCATTCTGTGTACCTCATGTCTGTGAGGAGCGTATATCATGGATGTCCAATGTTGGAGACATTGTAAGTGCAGCCTTGCATTTGCTACGATGTATGTTGTCACTGCCATGTGGCCTAAGAGCTCTGCAGGCAGGTAAGTATAGGAACCGTGGGACTCGTAGTAAGGATCTGCACAAGATCTTGGATGGCATGAAGTCTGGAAGCAGGTAGGTAAGCACACGCCGTAATGGAGTTGAGGCAGGCTCCTGTGAACTCTATAGATAGTTGTGGTATGAGGGACGACTTTTGGATGTTGATTATGAGACCCAACCCAAGGCATCGAACAAAGACCTTGTCATGTTGACTGCTCGTAATGCCTCATCGAAAGAGAGAGCTCTGAGGGGCAGTCGTAGAGATAGGGAAAAATGATGATCCCCTAGACGACGAAGGAAGGCCGGGACTACCGCCATTGTTTTGGAGAAAACCCTGGGGGCTGATGATAGGCCAAATGGAAGGACCTTGTATTGGTAGTGGTCAGCACCTACCAGGAAGTGGAGGAATTGCCTGCGAGCCGGGTGAACGGTACTATGGAAGTAAGCGTCCTGTAAATCGAGAGATGCAAACCAATCGTCATGCTCGAGTGCTGGTACGATCGTTGTTAGTGTCACCATTTGAAGCGCTGCTTGCGAAGGTACTGATTCAGCCATCGAAGATCTAATATGGGTCTCCAACCCCCAGATTTTTTTTCTGTTAGGAAATAGTGGGAGTAGAAACCCCTCCCTGGAAGGCCTCCTGTACCCTCTCTATTGCTCCAATGTTGAGTAAATGAGCCACCTCCTGTTTGAGAGAAGATTCATGAGATGGGTCCCTGAAGAGGGACGGAGGAGGAGGGTTGGTGGTGGGGGGACATAAAGGGAATCACGTAGCCTGATGTTATAAGCTGCATGACCCATCGATCTGATGTTATTGTGGCCCAGCGGTGTTGAAAGAGCCTTAAACGGTGATGGAAGACCGCAGTGGTGGCATTGTGAGTGGGCAGTAGCTAGATGGTTTGCAGTCCCTTGATGCACGCGTCAAACCTGCTGCTTGCATGGTTGTTGATGTGCTGGTCTGGCAGCCTCTGGGGACACTGCCTGAGTCGTTGAGGGTTGTACTGGCGTGCCTGTGAAGGTGCGTATGAAAAAGGCCTCTGCCTTTGGTATGGTGTGTATCTTCTATGATGGTATGGTGGTGTATACATGCCGAGAGTCCTGAGCATTGTGCATGAGTCTTTACCAGAGTAAAGGACATGATCAATCTTTTCAGCAAACAGGGTTTGCCTATCAAAAGGCAGGTCCTCTACCTTATTTTGGAGTTCCTTAGGTACCGCTGAGGGTAAACGACACCGTTAACCGATAAGCAGGGCTCGCCAAGCCGCAGCGAGCCCCAATCACCAGCCCACTCGCCAGCTGTGGCGCCGTGCTGGGCTTGGCGAGTAGATTACCTAAATTGTCGAGCCCTGCTGATAAGCATTTGCTTATCTGTTAAATGGTGAGTCATTTACACTCAGACATCCCTAATACTGACACACAGGGTCAGGCAACAGGGCCCAGACCCCACTGCACAGAGACAGGCAGCTGGGACCCGAAACCCTCCACGTGGGGCTGAGCAGCCAGCTGCCAGGGCCCCTGCACAGGACCAAACCCTGCAGCTTGCCATGTGGAATGGTCAGCTGAACCCCACAGCAGAGGGCCAGATCATAATAGGTCCATTAAAGGCAATTAGCCAAAATGATCAGGGATGGAATCCCATTCTCTGGGTGCCCCTAAACCTCTAGATGCCAAATGCTGGAGCTGGACAACAGGGGATGAATCACTCAGTAATTGCCCTGTCCTATTCATTCCCTCTGAAACCTCTGAAGACAGAGTAATGGGCTAGATGGAGTACTGGTCTGACCAATAGGACCATTCTTATGTTCAGTCAATATTTATCTCTTTGGTCAATAAATGTTTATATTCATCACCCCAGAAATCAATATATTCTTTAAATTGGTATGAATAACTTAATTTTGATATTTTTGTATTTTTATTATTTATTTTTCTATAATGTCATTTCTGGTTTTTAAATAAATGAAATATGTTTGCTACAGTTGATATTAACTTTTAGGATCAGCTTCCTAAACACCTATTATTATCCAACTACTTTTGAACCTCTTTCCCAATTTAAAAATTATTATATTTATTTGTAAAATACCATTTTCTTGTTGTTCATTTTGTGTCTTCTGTCTTGTCTAGATTAGGAAAAAAGTTTCTGCTTAGGTTATAAACTGATTTAAAAATAGAGATAAAGGTGTTAAACTGCGTGCACACTTGTTTTAAATTGTGTTTTTCAATCATATTGACAGGGCTCAACAAATCAGGCAATCTACTCACCCGTGGCGAGTAGATTTTAACCCGGTGCGGCCGCGCAGTGCGGTCAGTGCATGCGCAGCGTGCGCTTCCACCTGGCTGGCAAGCGGGGCTCACCGCCACTTGGTGAGCCCTGCATATTGATAGTTTGACTGACTAAAGTACCATTTTTCCTAGCATAGAGAAGGCCTAAGTAGCCAGAAGCCTGATCTAATTCCTATTAAATAGATTATTATGATTTAAATGGGAATTTGAAGGGGCTCTAATCTGTTCACAGATGTATTTTTCCAGTAATTGTATTATTTTATATATGACCCAAATTCAGGAGCATGCTGTTATGACATTCCATCACAGCTGTACATACTTGAATACCAAAAAAGAAACTGCAGCAGCCAGAATTTGGAGCAGATGGTAGAAGTTAATTTTCAGACCCAGCCTTCTCTTCCACAGTGAGTATTGCAAAAGGATGTAATAAAGTGTAGGTGATGATACACAATGTACATGTTTATGTACAAATAGTTGTTGCTATCTTGGTCACGCCATAGCCCTGACAATTCCCTGTGCAAATTATTTTTATGCTTAGCAGGTACAGTATGCATAAGGTGGCTGTGAATAAGGGCTTACTCAATCAGAATGCAGTTGTACTCAATGTTGGTTTTGTATCTATTTGTTTTCTCATTTCCATAAACCAGCTAGAATTTGCTTCTGTGATTTTAGTTTTTCTTAAAAAAATGCCACACCTAGGAAATTACCCTTCATTAAAAGAAAGTTATTTTGGTGGCAAAATTTGGTTTGTAAAACTAGAAAGTTAGAACATGCTAGAGCTATAGTCTCCTGTATAGCCTAATTTGATGCCCGTTTGCATATGATATCATTTAGTTAATTACATGATTACATGCTTTTTCTACATGACCCCTTCCTCATTCAGTGACAAGGTTTGACAAACAAAGGGGAAGAAATAAGATTGCAAGGGTAACTATAAATCTTGCATTACTAACTTTAAAATAAAGTTATTTTGCTTGCCAATTAAATGTAGTATTTTTAATATGTAATGTATAAGCAGATTGTATCTCATTTTAGTGGCACTCTTACACTCAAATGTTATGTGGAGGCCAATACTGCCTCAAAAAGCCTGCAAATTAAACCTTTATTAATCAGTGTAAAGTCTCTATTGATTTTGGTCTTTGCTTTTTGTGGTCCTCAGCCTATTTTTAGAATTAGCTAGTACCATTCGTTTAGGATTAGACTAGCAGCTCAATAGTAATGTCCTTTTATATATAAAAGATATTATACGTGCATGACTCTTATGTCTTGTCTTTAGCCCCTTTGTATGAGACTGCAACATCTTTTGCTTGGCTCTTACAAACATTCTTTAAAATCTTCAGAGGTAGTAAAATGAGGTTGTTTCATGTCATTTGCCAAATAAAAATACATCCTTGCAAAAATGGAATCCATTTTTTCTTTGCTGTGGTCAGTGAAAGAGCTGTAATCACCCAACTGCACCCCTCAGCCCATTACTATACAGCACATCAGGATTTTAGCCATGCTCCTTATTGTGCAATTCTATTTTATTTGTTTAGGCTCTTAGTCCATACCTATTATTTTTAGTAATGAAACTGCTATCTGAAAGCAAGTCAATAAAGTGACTAAGTCCATCAGTGTGAGGCAGCTGCTTCTACTATGTTGTGTTGAAAGTAGACCCTAAAGATTAATACATTATTACAGAGCTAAAACCAACACTGTTGAAAGATAGAAAAGCATCCTTATTCTGCTTCCTGTAGCACAGCAAAGGGAGGGGCAAGACACTGAATGACAGGAGCCTCTGTGCATCGCTCTTGTACAGAAAGAAAAACAACCCCGGGCTGTGCCCACGAAAGCTCATGGTACCATCTATATATTTTGTTAGTCCATAAAGTGCTACCAGACCATCTGTTGGTTTTTTGTAATTTATCCTGTACAGACTAACTGGCTACCCCCTGATGAACCAGAACAGCTTTATCCAGAGTTACATTGCATGGCTTCCTGTGACTTAAATACCCTTTACAGCCAGGGAATACAGGTGTGACGTCCTCCAGCCCGCCTTTGACAACAGTTATACAACGCCCGCTTGGGCCACAGATCACACAGGCGTTCAGGATACAGACCTGACTGCAGGAGTCTACAAATCTGGTGCATAGCACGCCAGCAATGCGTCCCCGGGAACCACATGCAGGCAGATACTACCACTCCCAGCATGCAATGCTTCGAGGAAGAGGCTCACCCATCCCAGCACCCATTGTTTCCTGGACGCCGTCCGCACGCCTGCATGACGTCACTTAATATGCAACTCTGCCCCTCAAGTTCCTGAAATTTAAAAAGAGTCCCATGCTGCCCCGCGCGGCTTTCCGTTGATTGGCTGCGGAGTTGCTGGCGCGAGGTTCAAAGTTGTCGGGAGAAAGGGGCGCCCCTGGCTAGGCGCGTAGCGACATTGAGCGAGCTGGGCAGTAGGTGAGTCCCGGGCTGGGCGGGAGGCGCGGCGCGCTAGTTGCTGCGGGGCGGCTTGGCCCCCCCTTGCCCAGGGACCCCGGCTGAG